GCTTTCCCACGGATCATCTGCTTGCTGACTGGGGATACCTGACCTCTTGAGTTTGCTACAAGCACAGAAACTGGGAAGGTTGGTGATATCTCAGTCTCTCTTGTACTCTGCTTATCGTGCATAACTGAGAATCTCTACAGGATTTAAACACATTATTGTAACCCAAATTTACAAAGTTAATGGCCCATGATGTTGACAAGACATGCAGGAATATTGTGAAGCAGTACAGGGAGTGGAGTTTAGAAGAATCTAGGCTGGAAGGCTCTGAGAGCTCTGCAGGAGTGCCAGGAGGCACCCAGTGCACCCCTGCAGCCAAAGCTGTATGGGGAATGGCTTTCCCTGTCCAGCCAGGGTAACAAACTGCTCCATGATGCTCTCATGAGATTACTGGCCCCCAAACATTTTGGTTTCTAATATATTTAGGAAAAATAATCTGACACCTGGATATTATCACAAATCTTTTGCTTTCATTTCATGGATCCAGTGCCAAAAGGCAGACTACTTCAACTACCTGTCTGGTTTTATTCTGATTACTAGTCCAGAGCCACAGCTGGTGAAATTCTTATGCTTGAACTAATACCCTTACTAAACACTCCTTGTCTCCTTTCATAAAGGAAAGACACAGTAATCTTTACCCCATCATTTTAGTAGCTAATGATTTATCCATTTGGCTTGCCTCTGGTCTCATTGCTCATGTACACTCACAGAAGCAATATAATATGTCAGACTCAAGCTGTTTGGGTTAGAGGTTTACACTTGGCTTTTGAAGGATGTGATTGCAAACTTTCAAATAACACAGTATTTATAGCTTTTCCTAGGCTTATAACAGTGGCTACTAAAACTCTCACGTAAAAGGAAATGAAAATACAAGAATAACATGGCTTTTGGCTTTCACATCTGATGTTTTTGACCTGGCTAGCTTAGGTATCATATACTTAGTTCTACCCACTGAAATATTCAACTTTAATTTATTTTGCTTAGATGTTGCAGGCTATAAATAAACCTTAAAATTATTGCAGTTGTGCCCTGATTTCTTAACAACAGTGCTTTTTCACTTAACTAAATATACTAACTTTTGGAGTTCAGTTCAGCACAGTTTAAAAATGCTGCTTTTATCAAAGCATAGCTAAGCATATTTACACTTGAATTAATTACAGTTTTTTGTTTTCTCCGATTTGTCCTGACAATAAGTATGTTGAATTTTAGACTGGGGTCTTTGCTGATTCTGTTCCCAGTATATTGACTTCTATCTTACCACATTTCTCCTGTTCTGAGCAAAATATTACAAACTGCCCAGCCTATAGCAATGCATTTTTAAATACTGAACACGATCAGAATAGACAGTGAAGGTGCAACATTTAATGAAAGTGTATGAATGTTATATGACTATTACTGCACGCATCAAGTATCATTTTGGGACTTTGGAACTGCAAATGGGCTTAAAAAATGTAAGCTCACATGCTGTGAACTCCAGCATGTCACTTACAAGAAATGAGGAACAGACAAAGGGCATCTGAGCCAAAATGCCTCTACTTTTTTTTTTTTAGCATCATCAGTGGTTATCACAATCCCAAATTTAAAAATATGACAGCATAAAGATACAGCGGTTGGCAGTATCTTTTAGAAAAACTGTGTACATCAACACAATCTTATTCATAGCTTATAAAATAATATGTACTGTACTACATAAATATTATTTTAATACAAAAACCTTTAAAACAAGTTCTAATACAAACAGGAAAAGAGCCTTTGCAAAGATCTGCAGGTTAATACAGGGTGCAGCACTTACCAAGATGTGTGTTCATCATCTTCGCACAATATTTGCACATGGCTTCCAAGTCGTTTAGTTGTCCTTGTAGAAATGAAATCTGGGCCTCCAATTCCTCCTCCTGCCATTAAGAGGTTATTAGAATTAAACCCACCATTCTATGATACACAGTAAATTGGTAAGTCAACCTTTGACATGCTTAGACATCTTCTAATTTTTCCTATTCCTTCGTTACTGAGAAAATTTTGGAAATAACGATAATTACCTTCCAACTTATTTATCATAAATGTATTAAATTCTTTTATCATTTCATGGAAACAGAGTTTGATTTTAATATTTTATTTCATTAATACTACCCTTTTACATTCTAAAGAGTATAATAAAAATCTGCCTACTTTGATCTAAGAAAGGTTACTCATTTCTATTTCTTTAACAGATTAGCTACCTGGCTTTACTTGCACAAACAGTGCCATAGCAGTGATCTAAAAAAACAATCAAATGAGAAAAATCCTGATTTCTGGTGGAGTAATTTCCACAGCAATTCCTTTGAGATGTCAGATAAATTCCTTTTTAAAAAATTTTTAGGCATACATTTCCTGAGACCTAATACCATATCTCAAGGATGTGTTACTGCCATATATTTTGGCATATTTACTTGTGCAATGTGTTGTGCTCTATCTGTATATAAACCATGCCCAGTCAACTGCAATTCCACACAATGTCTTACATAATATTTAGGTGAAAACTGTTTTCAACTCGTATACTATAAAGCAGTTACTCTAAATTAATAAGCTATGTTTAAAAAATATGCATCAAGTGTAATTTAAAATATGAATTAAAAGAAATAACTATTGATTTGAAGACCCAGGAGAAGCATTATTATCTAGCTACAAGCCCTGCATAAGCAATGGGTACTACCTCAGCTGAGCACTTCTCTTTGAACTCCTTTCTTTGCCAGTTTACAAATGCATCCAGCCTTGACTTTGAAGACCATACAGCAGAGAAACTTGACCACTCCTTTAGAAAAATTCCCTCAAAGACTAGTTACATAGAGCATTAAGCAGTGTTTTTAAGTACGCAACTGAATTTAATCAAAAAAAGCAAAGTAACTTTTTAGCCTCCTGTTTTTTTTAGTTTTGCAGCTCTAACATATTCTTGTTTGACGGAGATTGCTCAACTTTACAGTATGGAGTACATTTCAAATGAAAAAAATCAAAATCTGATCAGCAAGAATAAAGAGAATGAATCAACCATGATTCAAAGGGACAACTAATCTTAATCTCCACCAGAAACTGAGTTGGAGCCAAGCCAATGAAACTTTGCACTAATATAGCGTACCTCCAAAGGGAATTTATAAGTAAAAAGAAATTTAACAGCAGCATTTTTCAAGATACACCAATAACTTTTTGCCTACACACTTTTCCCTCACACAATCAACAGACAATAAACATTTTTTAATTTGCTATTTCCTTAAATTAATATAACCTCAACTTATTTTACTCAAGTTTATAATATGACCACTTAAGCCTCAAAGAGATTAATTTTATATTGCCAATTTATAATTGCTGAAAGCTAAATTCTAGACTGTTAATCTCTTTCAAAGTGTGCAGTTCTGTCACAGCCTATACAAGCCTATCTGCATTGCTATTTCTATTCAAGCAATGTCCCTGCTGAAGACCTTTTCCTGCTACATACAGCTAGCGATTGCAAGAAATAATCTACCATAAATTTTAAATTGCCAGGGTCCTGCAAGTGCACCTGTAAGACAGGGAGAGGTGACAATATTCGAGTATTTTACCATAAAATAACTTAAGTTCTAAAATCATTAGCCAGGAACTGAAATCCAGTTTATCACCTGCAAGTGAATAAAATATGCAAATTTAACCTCTAATAATGAATACTTTCCTGTTTCCAAGATCGTTTTTTTCTTGCTCATGGATCATAACTGAAGCAAATTGATTTTAAAATGCTTTTGGAAGTTCTATTCACTTGGGCAGATCCTGAAACTAACCTTTTCAACTGCACAATAAGTATGATGAGTAAACTACGTCCACTGTTCTTTCAGCTTGTTAGGATCCAGCCCAGGGAGCAGAAATGTTAGGCAGACTCAGCACTCACGAAGGAGGGCACCATGGCTGCCAACTCACAGGCAGTGCAAGACGTTTCTTGCCAAAGGAGAAATCTTGCACAAGGCTGAATGAACACACTGGAGTTCCTGACTTATCTGGCACCCTCAGGCAGGGCACCAAGGAGCACTGCCAGCAGGATGTGCACAGAAGCAAGACAGTTAATGTGGCACTTGGAACAAAAGAGGCCCAGATGTACCGTTTGCATAAGAAGACAGCACCCAAATGGTGATGACACACCTTGTCTTTGTCTCTTGCTAGAGACACAACCCCTGTCCATGCTGTCATTGGCAGTGCTGTGGCAACCTCTGTGCAGATGGACCCTTGATGGTGACCTCCTCGGAGGGAGGCTTGCTGTTGCTGCAGGAGCAGGTGATGAGCTGCAAGAAGAGGCAAGCATGTTTTATTTTGTCAGGGGTGATAAACTGGTGATCGACAGGATCCTTCAAAGTGTAAAAGCTGATGCAACAGACAGGGAAGGTACAACTGAAGCAAAAGGCAGTGGGAGGAAGATGTACTCATAAGAGGGTGGAAATTGGAAGCTTGTGACTTCTGGCAGCAAGAGGGCTGCCCTTTAGTGCAGAGCCCAGGAAGTTTTGGGGAGGAACAAGCCCTCTCAGAGGAAGAATCCAGGCTGGACACTGTATCAGAGTGCCAGCAAGTGAAAGTGATGAGCGACAGTGAGTAGCTGGTGACTCTGTTCCTGACAGACTCATCAATTAGGGAGGTTTCCTGCTTGCATGGAGCCTCAATTTGTGGTGTTGCCAAATGACTGTTTGGGGTCACCTAATGTGTTGGGGCTTTTTTTTTTTTCCCCTTTTTATTTTCTTTTTTTCTTTTTTTTTTTTTTTCCCCTGCTTACTCATGCATACACCAAAGACATGGTGATTTGAAACCATTTCACTTTAAAAGGGACTGTTGGGCTCCTGAGCAAGGGTGAAATGGACAGGAATCTTGGTGATGTTTCTCTTCAATCCTACGGCAAAATGGAAAAGCCTAGACAGCAGCGGATGTGTCCAGTTGGTGGCTGGAAATGGGCACAGTACCCAATGGACTATGAAGATACTGCTCAGTATGTTAATCTTCATTAACAGCTCATATGAGGAGACAGAATGTACACTCAGTGGATTTTCAGATGATGCAAAATGAGGAGCGGTGGCTGCCGTGCTAATTGGTAGAACTTCAATTCAGAAACACTGTGATATACTACAAGCATAGACAAAAGAAATCTTTTTGAAGTTTGTGCTTTAGAACCTTCAAGAATTCAAAAATTCTGCACCAGAGGAGAAAAAAAACAATGCTCTCATGCAGACAGGGAAGGAATTTGCTGTTTCAGGCCTCCTGAAAAACATCTGGAGGCTACAGTGGCTGCTGAGTTCTTTATAAACTAATGAAGTTCTCATCATGAGTAATGTAAACAGTGTTCTGGGCTACATTAGTTAGCAGCTCCAGGAAAGTCATTACCACCCTCTAATTGTTGCTTCTGGGCCCTCACCTTGAATAATGTTTCGGGCCTCCAGTTCAAGAAGGATGTTGAGAAACTGGAGAGAGTTCAGTATCGGGGAACTATGATTGCCACAGGTTTAGAGGCCAGGCTGGAGGAGCTGGGCTTGTTTATTTTGCCAAACAAGAGCCAAAGGGGGATCTGCTGGAAGCCTGCAACTACATGGAGCTACAAAGAAGATGTCATCAAAACCTTCCCAGAAGTAGCAGATGATAGAGAAGGGACCATGGCCCAAAATGGCTCCTTGGAAAGCTCAAATTGGTCATTAGAAAAATATTCTTCATTAGGAGACCAGTGCAGCACTGGAAGAGGTTAGTCAAAGAAGTGGTAGAGTTTCTATTCAAAGTCACTGACCTGATCCTGTGTTAGTGATTGTCCTGCTCCAACTACTGGCTTGAGCAGAATTCTCTTCTAATTAACATTCCTAACCTTTTCACAGTATCTATCTAAAACTGTTCTGCAAACTATGACTGTTTTAATGTTTTGCAAAGGTAAGCAGCAAAATCACAAAGTCTCTAGAAAAAAGGACAATTTTTTTCCAGTACTCTAAAGTCAATTTTCTTAGGAGCAATAGATAAAACAACTCATTTATAGCCAGCACTGTGCAGATGCTTCTCAATTCTTGCCCAGACAGTATTCACTCCGCTCTTTAAGTGCCAACTTTTGTGCTTCACTGTGCTGAGAAAGTGAGTACCCTGGATACCATTTTTATTTTGTGTACAAATAGCGTTGCCGATTTATCACTTTTATGCACGAACAGAGACTTATAAATTCTCTGAAGAGGGCAAACATAACTCAAGAGGAAAACCTTATGGTCTACGCTTCTTTGAGAAACTGACCTTTCACCTCATCTGACACACACAGTATGAGGTGAACAGGGATTCAAACTCATTCAGCCACAGCGCTCTAAGGTTAACTGGCTGACCACAAAATAAAAATAAACCATTTAAATAACTAACCAAAATAAAAAATCATTGTCAACTTACCAAATGACATGTGCTATAAACATATAAGCTCAATATTTTCTAATATTGAGAGCTGCATTATGAGGAAGAAAAATGACTCTAGCAGCAAATCAAGTAAAGGAATCACTGCATCAGACATGGAAGACCAAGATGTGCAAATTTAATGATGAAATCTTGCAGAAAATCAGCTTAACAATATTTTCTGGAAATTTAGTCCCAGGGTCCTCAAAACACTTTTCAATATTGTCAACATTCCAATGATGTAGAGTCTTACAGATAATCAGTAACATCTTGAACTGAATAAAGGAATGAAAAGGCAGTAGATTATCTGTGATGCCACACTGATTTACCCTTCTCTAACAATATAAAGCAGGCTGGTATTTATGTCTCCAGTCAAAGCAAAACTCCCTTTGAGTGCCTTCATATACACATCTCCAACTATTTTCCGTGTTGTGGAAAGACTGAATCTACAAAACACTTGACTTTGTTTCTCATATTTGTCTTTTTTCTTATCCACATCCAGAATTTAGGTTACATTGTGAAATTTCCTTTTTAATTCTGCCATGAAAACTAATTCCCTTATGATTAACTGTTTGTCATTTCTTAGATATCTTTTTCTCCATCCTATACAGTTCTGGTGCTCTCCATTTGTCCAAAGCTTGCTCTTCCCCTTTTTATTACCTGTCCTTTCATCTATCTTCTCACCTTACAAAGACAGCTATAGAAATAAATTTATTATATCCTTCCTTCTCTCCTGAGATCAAAATGAGATCAGTGATGCCTCTGCTATACCACATTTTTAATCAAATTTTACTGTTTCAGAAAACCAGCTGACACTAACTGAAAGTGGACAGTACCTTCAAGAATGGATTGCAGAAAGTTTTACAGTTCTGACATTGTAATCCTATGCTTTTACAGGTCAGCACTTTACAAGCTGCAATAAGGTCTGTGGACATGTGTAAGAGCACTGGAATTCAGCATTCTACACAAGCCAAGGTCTGAAGAAGTACGGTTTTGGCACAAGCCACTCTTTCCC